GTACAGTGTTTTGATGTGTTGAGATACTGTTTTTATGTATTTATTAGTTAGCAACGATCTTGAGATGCTGATATCGTAATGAGGGTATATCAAATGATTACGCACTTGACTTCGTCGTTGAGTAACGTTTATTAATACGGGCCTGACTTCTTTTACTAAGTGATAACATTCTAGAATGTTCTATAATGAATGTTATTCTAAATGCAATGGCTTTTATAGGATGGTCAAAACAAGTCTGTATACTGAAAATATGTCTAATGAGTCAACGTCTTCTGTAACATTACACTTCACAACATTTTATCAGTAATCCAACATCAAAAGCTTTATCGGCACAATTCGTGATCAACATGTTATGGTAAAATTATGGCTACTTGCAATTATCATATTTACGAGTAACCTAGTATCAAAAGCTTAGTCAGGACAATTTGGGATCAACAGGTTTATATGATATTACGGCTACTTCCAGAATGCATAACTACCTACTTTAAAATTTATAACAAATGTTTACTGAAATTCATAAATATTCTTCTATTTGCGAGTTTTAGTATATAAAACGTGAATTAAAGTATAGGTCAAATATTAAGCTACACAAAACTTGAAAGTACTGTTAAAAATCTATTGTAACCAAAATCACATATTGTCCAACATTTGTGCAGAATCACAAATTGCTAAATTCGTTGGTCTTGAAAAAAAGTTGGTCGGGTTTGAAGTATTGTCAAAAGTATATTGTAACCAAAATTACATGTTTGGTCTACCGCTATGAAAATATCTGCTCAAATTCTGACTTCACGTAGTCTAGTGATCCCTAGCTCCTGCGTCACTAGTTCTACGCTCAAATCTCAGTGGAGCCAATAATTGTGCAAAATCACAAATTGCTGAATTCAAGTTAGTCGGGTTTGAATGCAAAACTAGGCACAAGAGAGAACGGTGAGCTGAAAGTAGGAAAATTTGGAATAGGGCAACGGAACCCAAGGGGCCAGCAGCTGGCCGACTTCATGGAGAAAGAGGGACTCTTTATGATGAACTCTTTCTTCCAGAAGCGGCCCCACAGGAAGTGGACCTGGTCGAGCCCCGACGGTTCGACAAAAAATGAGATTGACTTCATTATGACGACCAGACGACAACTGTTCAGTGATGTCTCCGTGATCGCGAGGGTGAAAACTGGTAGCGATCACCGAATGGTTAGAGGCACACTGAACCTAAACGTTAATTTGGAGAAGTCTCGTCTAATGAAGTCAACGCTCCGTCCCCCTCGTGCTCTGTTCCAAAGTCCCGAAACCTTTCAGCTCGAGTTACAAAACCGTTTTCAGTGCCTAGAAGACTGCAATGAAGTGGACGATATGAATGACAAGCTCGTGGAAACTGTCCATGCGGTTGGAGCTAAGTTCTGCAAGACCCGCCGCAGAAGAACACAAAAACTCTCCGATCACACTCTTAATCTCATGGCTGTTAGACGGGAGATGAAGCTACATTCTTCAACAGACTCGACAGCATACAGGCATCTGAACAGACAGATCTCCAAATGCATGCGGCGGGACTTACACAACTTCAATACAGCTCGTATTGAAGAAGCGATCGAGCGGAACCAAGGCTCCAAAGTCTTTGGCAGAGATCTGTCTGCCAGAAAGAGCCAACTGTCAAAGCTGAAGACCGAATGTGGCAGCATCGTTTCCGGGACACCTGAGATTTTGAGTGAGATTGAGAGGTTCTATGGGCAGTTTTACACGTCATCGTTGGAGCCACACGCAAGTGTGAGTAACGATCCAAGAGCGATCCACTTCCTGTGGGGCCGCTTCTGGAAGAAAGAGTTCATCATAAAGAGTCCCTCTTTCTCCATGAAGTCGGCCAGCTGCTGGCCCCTTGGGTTCCGTTGCCCTATTCCAAATTTCCCTACTTTCAGCTCACCGTTCTCTCTTGTGCCTAGTTTTGCATTGAAGTCTCCCAATAACACCGTATATTGGGTTTTGGAGGAATGCATGTCTCTAGAGATATCCTCATACATTTCCTCCACCTCCTCATCGAGGTGTGCCGAGGTTGGTGCGTAAACCTGTATGACCTTCAGCGAAAACCATTTGGTGATTCTGAGTATAAGGTACGCAACCCTCGTCGACATACTCTCAATCTTTACAACGTTGTTAACGAGAGACTTGTGGACGATAAATCCGACACCTCCTTGGGACAGATGGTCGTCCTCCCGGTGATAGAACAAGTTGCCGGATTCGAGGATTACTGTGTCCTCCCCCTCTCTTCGGACCTCGGATAATCCTATAATATGCCAACGTAACTTGTCTATCTCTTCTTCCAGCTCCACGATCTTCTCGTCAGTCCTCAGGGTGCGTGCGTTGTATGTTGCCAGGTCAAGTCGTTTTAGGTGGCAACCGAACCTCCACCGGAGATTTTTAGCACCCCCTGCCCCGCCGTTACCATGGTCGCCACCATAGCCAGGAATAGCGGGGCCGCCGGGGACTGGGGGCCGTTTATTATTGTCATTGCTCATGGGGGGTATATTGCCATAGTTGCCACGCTTGGCGAGCGGGTTGGCAACCGCAGTTTTTTTATTGTAAGTTTGTTGTAATCAGGAAGATGCTGCTGCCCATCTCCTGCCTGTTTCCCTTTGTCGCCTTTTACGACACCCACGGGAAGATATGGGGTAGTGGATATTCTTAACCGCCACTACACGGCAAATAATTTATATTGAAGTTGATTGTACAAAATTTTTAATTTTATATTGTATTTATTGTACATTTCTGTTTGGTGACTGAACTTGTAGATTAAGAACAAATTTTTCATTTTATTGCCACCCTCGGCATATACGAGTCATTGAGCTATTATGTATACTACGTACGTAGTACATTATACTTCGATGGTACGTGTATACCATCCGTGGAATTCTGAGCGCTTTAAAAAACGCTAGGATCTGATTTCTTCTATGTGGTCCAGCAGTATTTTGATTTTTGAATACATGACTCAAATTTATTACACTACATGTCCCACAATTAAGGTAGAAGCTTAATTGTGTGGCATTATTTGATACATTATAAATGTAATCGCTTTTTGAATAATGGGTAGCATAATAAACAAGATACTGATAATACAGTACAACTTTGATATAAAAAATCTGAAGGGTTTAGAAAATATTCGCTATATCAAGTAATTTGTAACAATGAGGTTTGTTATATAGAGTTTAGGTAGGTCTAAGATTTGTTTTAGCAAGATAAGCAAACTTAAAAAAATAAAACACATTGTAAAGAATGCCTTACAACAATAAACATTAATTTATTATGATAATTTGAATTCACGAATTGTCTTACGATAGTAGCTATACGCACGGAACAAGTATTTGTATGGCCTACAAATAATTGTAGCGCGTCTGAAATTTTTTCGTTGTGAAATTTATTTTTGTAAACTTCCTCCACGATACAGAAGAAAATCCTAGTGAGATAACCTGACAATTATATTTTTAAAAGATAATATTTAAAAAACATTACGCTGAATCAAAAAAGGATATTTCTCTTAAGTATAAAATCAACGAGTCTGCAACCAACGAGTATTTAAAGCTATCTTAACGTCACGAGGCCGGATGCCGCGTAATGGCTGTAGATTAAAAATCTAAACAGAGTTACGCTAAAGCATAACGTCCACTAACATTTTATATTTACAATAACAAAATGTTATACTCATGCAGAAATCGGAGCGAGCGGTAAGTCGTAGGATCGTTTAGAGGCAGACGTCTAATTAATTGCGTAGTGGTGGGAGATAAGAAGTGGGGAAAGATGGGGGGACGGTGCATATGGCTCGTTAAGAGGGCCGTCTGAAAGTGACACCACTAGCGCTAATTATTTACCTGCAAGGACAACATCTTCATGGCGTGCCCGTCGTCGTTAATATGAAGCACCAATAAATAAATATTCACACAACGAACCTCTATTTTTTATTTTTATAATATATTTTATACAACCTTGTTTTATATTATATCGTGATAAGCATTATGAATGCGCCTGACGACCGACTGATCGTAGGATATCCATCGAAAAGAATTCGCTAAACCTAATTTTCATCTTTTATGATAGCAATTAGTATTACTGCTTACAACTACTCTATTCTGGAAATTTACAATCGCTCAAGTCTCAAGGATTAGAAGCTTATGGCATATTTTTACCTAACACGAAGATCGCGAAAGTCACTCGTTGCAAAATATAATTTAGTATAATTTAGTGTAACAGGAAGTGTAAATCACAACCCTTGTAATAAACTATTCTGACATTGTAAAATATGATTTTTAATAAAATTACTTGTTAATTTTTAATATCATATAGGTCATTTTATTGTTTAATGTAGGTACTCATGGTTTAAATATAATTTGCCTGCTATTTTATATTAAAATAGCATAACATGAGTGCATAATACAACTAAAACATCTGTATATTTAACATGTTTTATGCAAATAAAGATTATTATTATTATTATTGTAAAAACAGTGCAGAATTGAATTAATTTATTTGGTTGCATGAACATTATCATCTACTAATAGCTATAGAATATATTATAAAAATCATGGCTGATACATAAATTTTAAAGATTTTTGTCAATTGTATACAATATTATAATTCCCATGATTACAACAACTTATCTGTATAATTTATATTCAAAGTAGGATAACATAGAATAAATGTGTTATATTTATTGTCCCGATAAAATTACCTACCGTACCTTCCTTTAAATATACTGAAACTTATTACAATTACCAATAACTAATTCTTTACATATTATACGTATATGTGTACCAATAACACTAATGTCGCATCTGCGTACAGTTCATACTTTGCACTAGAAGTAATAACACACGTGTGAATTTTTACTCGATATTTATTTATTTTTAAATAAAACTTAGCAATGTTTTTCAAAAATAAAACCGAATACTAATGCAGCGAAACAAAGTGTGAGATATTATAAGTATATGTATATCATAGATAGAAAATAAAACCAACCCTCAGGTATTAATGATGAAAAGTAAAGAGAAATCCAATCAAAATGCAGCAAAGGAGTGGCGAGAGAGGTCGGAGCCTCTCCTCGCCGTGCCTGAGGATGAAAGGTGAGTCAAACGAAGCGCTTCATTAAACTCACTATTAGTCGATAAGCGCTTGTTCAAACAAAACAACTCGACTTGTAACCTTATACCAACATTTAATTTATAGTTTAATTTTAGTCTTAGATTTTTTTCATCATCATGTTTTAATTTTTAAATAAATAAAGTATATCTAAATTAAATCTTAGGCATATAAAGTAAATCTTAGGCATGCAGTTCCTCGCAAAAAGTCCAGTTATAATGCAAATCGCCGATAACATATTAAATTTCTGAAAAACGAATTCATGAATTCACCAATCGCACACAGGCTATTTTATAGATTTCTTTATAGAACCTAATGAAGACAAACAAGGCACACGTGCCACATGATAGTGGATAGTCCTCGATTAAGAAACAAAATGCAGATGTCTCCCCTGAGGACTAAGGTGGAATGCCTCGTCTCCAGTAAAAAGCGTCTCCGGTTTTCTCTACACTCAACATACGAAACACAGCAGCATTTCCGCTGCTATTTTCCGCTGCTATTCTCTAAACGCGTGCTCCTGCCTAGACCAACCCATTTTTGCTACAACCATAATATAGCTGCAGCATGGTTCTGCCATGTTTAAATAAAATAAAACAGTAAAATACATATACTCGTAATCGAAGATGAATAAGTGTAGTAGATGAATAAATAGACACCGTGTAGTGGCGGTGTAAGAATATCCACTACCCCATATCGTTCCGCGATTGTAGTAAGAAGCAAAAGAGGGAAACGAATCAGGAGATGGGCAGCAGCGTCTTCCTGATAACGACCAAAAATAAAAAACTTCGTTTGCCAACCCGCTCGCCAAGCGTGGCAACTATGGCAGCAGTGGACTTTAAATAGGCTGTAACGGTGTATAAATATTGCATGTATGCAATGTTGCAAATTATCTATATATCTATACAAATAAATAAAATTGAAGTGTCTGTTTGTAATGTCAAAATAACAGCTTTTTACTAAATGCATATAAACGTATATATACCGGTGTTTATAACAAAAACCACAATTCTTTTAATTTTTGTCTGTCTGTCTGTCTTTTTGTTCCGACTAATCTCCGAAACGGCTGGACCGATTTGAACGGGACTTTCATTGGCAGGTAGCTGATGTTATAAGGAGTAACCGATTTCCATAATTCTTTTTTTTTATTTGAAAGCTGGTGATTCTCGTGTAGTCCCATATAAAATTGATCAAGGTCCGACCGATAGTTTTTGAGTTATCCTTAATAATTTATATTGAAGTCGGTTGTACAAAATTTTTAATTTTAAATTCTGCTTAGTTCGTCTAGGTGAGTACCACCCTCTTCGCTATTCTACCGCCAAATTATGATTGCACTGCTGTGTACTATTGTAATACTTATTCGCGCAGCATCAATTATCAGCCTTAAAATATTCAGATCGGTGGCCATTACCTGGATGATTTACCTTAATTGCCACGATTAGCAACATAACTAACTTAACTGTTATACTGGATACGACGGCTCCGTGGCGCAATGGCTTAGCAATGAGTTGTAGTGCTGGGGGCCGCGGGTTCGAATCCCGCACGGAACAAGTATTTGTATGACCTACAAATAATTGTTCCCGGTCTGGATGTTTGTCCTCGTGCAATCTATGTTTGTAAACTGCTTCCACTATACAGGAGAAAATCCTAGTGTGGGGTAACGTTTTTAAACAAAAAGAATTAAAAAAAGAATAGAATACTGAGTACCTACACGAAACTGTGTTAAGAGAAAAGGTCCTCAGTTGAATATATTCGGTATCTATCAGCATACCAATAATTTTACATGACAAATCAGATCATCAAATTTAAATCATCTACGTCCAATTGTATCTGGGTATTTAAAAAAAACCTGTGACAAAAAGACGTGGATATACGGATACTAAGGTGACTCTATGAGTGATCCTATTTTGCTAAGTTTGGCACGGAGTAGTATTAATGATGTTCCTAAATTAAAGCCCACGCGATGTAAAAAGCTAGTTATGTAATATTTGTGTTATAATGACGTAAGCAACTTCCTTTCTACAACAGAATTTAAGTTAACAAAATTAAAATAGGCATGTGTACCTACGTATCTTTCAGCGAAAACCCACTACACTCGTTGCCGAGATTGAGTGTGGTTTTACCGTGTAGCAGCAGCTCGAGTGTCGACCGCGTGGCAGTACTGTCGCGACGGAAACCCTACTCTCATGGCGAGTGAGTTAATATGAATTCATTTTCACACGATGTTGTTCATGAAAACCTTTAAAGCAAGTTTATATATAATTAGTTCTATGACTAAAATGCTATATAATATATATAATATATAATAGTAACGTAACTTTATGAAGGTCTCACCTGACTGCATACTTTTATTTATTCTGCATATTAGTTCCGAAGATCTTGAAAGTGTTCACAGTTTAAATTATACAATAAGTAGTACTCATTACGTTTTAAATTTAAATGACAAATGTTTTTCGACGCTCTATTTATCAACGTCACTAATAATCTAGTATAGAATATATATATATATATATATATATATATATATAATAGCAATAGAATATGTGTGTGTGTGTGTGTGTATTTGTGTGTGTGTGTGTGTGTGTGTGTGTGTGTGTGTGTGTGTGTGTGTGTGTGTGTGTGTGTGTATGTGTGTGTGTGTGTGTGTGTGTGTGTGTGTGTGTGTGTGTGGGCCACGCCACGTGAGATGTTAAGTATAGATTGACATAATATAGGACGGTTAGCCACCTTAATAATTATTATTGACATTTACTTTTTTATTTCTGGTTATTATAATAGTCAATTAATTTTGTTAATTATCTTTTAACCGATTTATATTCGTGTTTTCCTGTGTAGACACACGTTTCATTTTAATATCTCCAATAATTCCTGTTACGCAGTTTATTTAATATGCTGATTCAATAATACGGAATTCTGCATGGCTAGGGAATTTGGTGAAGTATTTCAAATCTAGTCTAATTTAACTTGAATTTAACGAACATAATTGGAATGATTATCGTTAGGTACGGGATTTTACATTGCTCCAGTAATTGTTTCGATATATCATGTTGTTTCAGTGAATCAATGACAGTAGTAATATCAGCGTTTTATGCTAAGCTGTTAATAGTTTTGGGGCTAGCACTTCCTATAACAAGCACAATTCAAAATGAACTTAATACAAATTTAACGTCAGATGTAAGTTTTTTACCTCATATTTACTTAGTCCATGAATAGAACATAGCTAATTACTATCAATAATTATATGTCAATTTGCAGATATTTACAATTTATTTATACATCGTTAGTATGATCTTCTTGGGATACATATTCTATCATTTGAGTAGAGTGAAAAAATATAAAGAAGGTAAATTATTTTTAAGCTATTAGTTTTTGGAACGAAGTTCCTTATCGCACGGTACGAATTTGACGTATGAGGGGGGGGGGGGGCGGGGGCTAGGCGAGAAATAGTGTAAGATTTTTCAGTCACGACCCCTTTTCTATAATGCGAGCGAGATGGAATAATGTCCATATCCCTCGCACTTTTTGTTATTTTGCCATGAAAGAAACATTATTATAAATAACGCTTCATTTTAATAGACGCTAGTAATTCATTTTTTGTTGTAATTGTTAATCAATAATATAATACCTTTATCAATAACAATATACTTCGAAAGGAACTTCGTTCCAACCGAGTGTTCCACGACACTCACACATGTTTTTTTTTTCTATAATACATTTTCATTGGATTTTTAATATAAAGTGCAATACTAGTTGTTACTGCTTATATGCTTTTTTTCTTTTATTTCTAGTCCCATTCCCATGTCAATGATACTGCATCCGTCTATTTTCTCGCATACGCTTTACATTGAACACGGATACGTTAAGACAAGCTATGTATAGGTTTGCACTGTCGGCTTCTGCTTCTGACATTTTTCATAACCGTCTCTCACGACACCATAGGGATGAAATGTGGTCAATGGATTCTACTCCGTCACTACACGGCACTTAATTACATTATTTCTTTATATTTATCATTATCTAAATATTTTTTTTATTCAAATCGCTATAGCAGTTTCCAAGAAACCAGTTACATACAAGAATTGCTCGCTTATAGTATTAAGATACGTTATTTAATCTTTCCCGTCTGGTATTTTCATATTTTAAATGTAATTCTAACATTTTTAACATGTGAACTCCACTTTATAGATAATGTTAAGCGGACACGTTACGGCAGTTTTTACTTGCACATGGGTGTTGCGGGCTTCAGCGTAGGGTCCATTATTTACTCATGCTTACAAATCGCAGAGTACTTCGATCTATCCGGAGACTGTCAGTTGATGATAGTGGCCTTGAAGCCAATACTTCGCATCCTCTTCATGGTGGCTCAAACCGTTTTTATTTTTTCCTACACAGACGTAAGTAATAAAAAAAAATCAGAATCACTAATAAAAAACTAGATACACAATCCCATGCAAAAGTTCTCTAAAAATTGTCGCCAATTGTTTTGACGTAATTCTAGTTGAAATAAATATACATTAATGTAAATCCAACCTTAAATGGATTAAAGTTGTATTCACAAAACTACGTACAAATTAAAAGCGCTATTTCACACAACTAACATTACTATAAACATATTCAGAAACTGACATTTATTTACAAAATATATGTTATATATGTATTTATAAAACGTCGAATAATATAATATGTATATTTAAACGAGCAATTAGAAAGAAACCTGGCTAACTGGTAAATTGGTAACTTAGCTGAAAAAATGTCCAAATGTTTTAACTAACTCTTCAAATGCAAATGTTAGAAAAGTTTGACAAAATCAATAACATTTTAATTGAAAAAGTGTCGGCCTCCATTTGGAAACATTTTTGAGGTGTTTCTGTGTTGATAACACATTGTTGTTTCGTGCAACAGTTCGTTTCGTAGTATTTTTTATTGGTTGTAGAGCACGTTTCATTTGGCGGACGAAATATAATAATTTTTATTATATAGAATAAGTTAGGAACACGCAAGCCGCCTGATGATTAGTGAATGAAAAGAAAATGAAATGTTTCAAAATGGGCAATGTGTATCTACACTACCTTATAAAAGCTGAGAAAAATACGTTAAATTTGGGAAAATATGAGATAGAGTGTAAATATCATTAGTGTAGAGAGAAATTAAAGGCTTGTACCAAAGCCTACGTGTGGGCGTGCCCTTGTATATATACCATATTCAACAGTAGACTTTTAGGAGCTTGTAACATAACGTATTACTGACTTTGTTCTAGCAGATTCACTATAATGTTTTAAAAAAAATAAAAATATTTTAGAGGTACTAAGAGCCAATATTAGTCTTGGTATTAAATATTGTATTTATGTTCAATATTAGGTAAATAAATTAGTAGTATTAACCTTATTAATCTTTGTTATCCCAGTGTTTTATTAAATTAGCTATCTTATGTTTCTAGAAAAGTACTATTTTTATGATAATCTAATGAACATGTGAATAATAATTGCTATTTGTTATTTTATCGCTTGCAGATATTAGATCCTATGCGAGGTGTGGTGCTCGACAGATTCGGCATGATGCATTTAATTGCTACAAACGTTTGTGAGTGGCTCAACATCGTCATACAGGAAACTAGAGATGACATTATCGCTCTCGCTTACAACAGCCCACCGTTTATTAGATACACTAATATTAAAGAACCTACCAATTTGTATGTAGTGGAAGCAACCGATGATATACACTTTGTACATAAAAATTATACTCATCCTGTTGTATTAACACGGAATACAACATCAATAAATGATTCCTGGAGCTGTAATATATCGGATATAATTACGCCATTAATTAGAACGGTAAACCCTTACTTGCGGCCTTGCGGGGTCGAATACAGTCTTTTGTGTTCGATAATCTTAGCGGTCATATGGAACGATATCTGTACTGTGCCTGGATCGGTAAATAACAATCTTTTTTTTTTTCATAAATTATTTCTTAGAGATATACATACAATTTAAAATTAGAATAAGGAGCTCAAGCAAAATGGGGCCTGTAGTTATATTTTATTATTTTAATCTAAATTTATTAATATATTTAAACTTATAAATTATTAATAAGTTTATACGAGTATGAAAGAAAAGAGTAATTTCTTATAAAGTTCTTGCATTATTGCCTGTTATTTAATATGCTTATGGGTGTGTGTAGATCAAGCGGTAAAGTTAAAGTAAAAAAGCAAATTTAAAACCGACACATACGACCCTCTCCTGGAAACAGGCCACCTCTCATATCTGAGAGGGTTTAGGACAGGAAGTGTCCACCGCACTGGCCTATTACGTGTTGGCGGACTACACATATCCTTAAAATATTTTTTTTAATTTTTTAAACATACGGATTTACTTACGATTAAAATATTATAATATTTAGTATGTATTATAAAATCTTCAATTACCTCAAAGTTTCTATATGTATTATATTTGCAGTGTAGTTGTAGTAGTAATTTTCAGATGATGATTTTCTTTTCTTACGTACATAATTTAAAAAAGGAATTTACACCTACACAAACAACCTTGATTACGAAATTATTTAACTGGATAAGGGTTAATAATATTTTTTTTTATAGGAGAGAGGGCAAACGAGCAAGCGGCTCACCTGATGGTAAGTGACTACCGCCGCCCATGAACAACTGCAACACCTGGGGAATTGCAGATGCATTGCCGGTCTTTTAAATAAGAGTCTTTTCTTGAAGGTCCCTAAGTCGTATCGGTCCGGAGAAATAGCTGGTGGTAATCGATTCCACAAGGAAATTTTCGAAGAAGAAAACATTTTATACGTAGAGCCATGCTGCAGCTATATTGTAGTTGTAGCACAAATGGGTCGGCTCGACCGGGGAAGGACTACGCTCTCACAGAATACCAGCGTAAAATAGCAGCTTAACGCTGCTGTGTTTCGTATGGTGAGTGGGGAACCGGAGACCCTTTTTACTGGCAAAGAGGCATTCCATCTTAGTCCTCACGGGTGACAACGCATCTGCATCTTGAGTCTTTATTGAGGATAGATGTAGATGTCTCTGGGTCACAGTAACCACTTACCATCAGGTGGACTGTGTGCTCGTTTGTCACCCGATCCTATAAAAAAAATCTTCTAAATCGCACAGTGGTGGACCGCCAATCATCCAGATGGTATGGATGGTATCGCGAGTTTTGTCGCAATGTGAGATGGTGAAATTGAGCGGCTGGAATTAGTCCGAACGATTTCTCAGAGCACTCCCCGTGGTATATACGGTAAAATACGCAAAGAGATGCAACATCTCTACGCAGTGCCAGTGAGTCAAGCCGATCGGAAAGAACTCGGTCGTCGACGATTCGAACCGCTCTGCGCTGGATGCGGTCAAGTGGAAGGAGGTGGCACTGGGGAGCCCCTGCCCAGAGAACAGTATTGCATGTGAGGCCGAACTTGCGCCTTGTAAAGTAGCAAGCGATGTGCCGGCATGATATACCGTCCCGCTCTGCTGCGCACGCCAAGCTTTTTAGAGGCCAATTTGGCCTTCTCTTCCAAGTGACCACGAAACTGCACGTCACTCGATATGTCGACGCCGAGGATTCCGATACTGGCCGAGGCAACAAGGGGAGTGCCTTGAAACTGAGGAGATACGACAAAGGGGTTCCTTTTAGCGATAAACGCCCAAACTTGTGTTCTGGGGATTGAACTAAACTAGATTTAGTCACCCCCAATCCGAGACTTTGTTCAAAAAAGTTTAGACTTCAGACACAAGTTTGTTCCGGTACTCGGCGACGTTTTCCCGCGAAATACTGGCACGGCCGGTGTATAAAGCATCACCAGTGCTGTCATCTGCATAGCAATGTATGTTACCCGTTTGCAACATATCATTGATATGCAGAAGAAACAGCGTTGGTGATAGCACGCAGACTTGTGGAACACCAGCGTTAATAGGCTTGTAATCGGAGCATGCACCGTGTACTATGACCTTGATGCTCTAATCAGCCAGAAAACTGGTGTTCCAATTACACAATTTCACGGGAAGCCCATAGGAAGGAAGCTTCGAAAGAAGCGCTTTGTGCCCGATCGAAGGCCTACGCTATGTCCAAACTAACGATCAATGCCTCACCCTTGCACTCGATCGCCTGCGCCCATCTATGTGTTAGGTAAATAAGAAGATCACCAGCTGAGCGATCCTGACGGAAACCGTACTGGCAGTCACTAATCAGATGGTGCTCCTCAAGGTATCGCATGAGCTGGCAGTTAATAATGGACTCCATTATTTCCATACAACAAGGAGGTGATGCCGATAGGCCTGTAATTGAACGGATCAGAGCGGTTACTTTTTTAAGGATCGGGTGCACGAAAGCTGTCTTCCATGAATTCGGGACAACGCCTAGGGAGTAGGAGTATCGAAAAAGATACGTTAGAACCGGTGCCAACTCTGAAGCGTACGTCCTCAGCACAATTGGCGGGATTCCGTCAGGCCCACTCTACTTGTGGGTGTCCAGGAAAAGGAGTGCTTTGCGTAATGAGCACTCTGTGAATCGCACATCAGGCATAGAGCACTCACACTGCGGTATGATCGGCGGTATGTTCCCCCGTCATCAAGAGTCGAGTTGGACGCAAAAAGGGAGCCTAAAAGGTTGGCTTTCTCTTTTGTGGCGTGGGCCAGTGAGTCATTCTCCCTGTGCAAAGGTGGTAGTGATGGCTTACAGAAATTCCCTTGGACAGCCTTGGTGAGAGACCAGAATGCATGGGTTTCCGAAGGAAAGCGAACTACTTTCTCGCCAATTCTGCCTATGTGCTCTGACTCTGCCTTGGCAATAACTTTTTTGAAGGACCTGTAGGCAAAGTTATACTTCTCTTTAAGTATGCTGGTGTTTACATCCCGAGCCGCCGAAGCTTCAGCCCAGGTCTGGTAACACTCCTGGTTACTGCGTAATGCAGTCTTACAGGAGCGACCAAACCAAGGCTGAGATCTGCCAGCGATGGATACCACAGATGATGGAATAAATAGTTCCATTCCCTGTAGCACCTCATCGGTGATAGAGTCAGCAACAGCGCTGGGATCATCCGGCGAAAAGCAAACCCGCCCTCATGGGTAGAATGCAAAGAAAGACCGCATTCCGTCCCAATCCGCCGACCTGTAATGCCAAACATGGCGGCAACCTGCAAAACTCAGCCGCGACGAGAGCGTGGGTGGGGCACCACACTCCGGATCAGACAATGGTCCGAAGAGCCGGGAGGGCATTGACGGAAACCTGATATGCGTCCGGATGGGAGGTCAGCGGGAGGTCCAACAGGGAAGGTGTATGATCCTCTCCACATCTGGAATCCACGTAGGCGAAGTAACCAGTTGTGTCAGACCATATGCCAAGGCAAAATCATAAACAGATCTCCCCGCATGATCGGTTAAACGTGAACCGAGCCATTCAGCGTGGTGGGCGTTAAAATCGCCAAGTATCACGATCTCTACGGGTAGGATCTGTTGTAGCAAGAAATCTGTAGCCAATTGGACGTGGTCGATGAGTCGGTCTGTGTCGGCATTACCGCTATGGCACCTATACAGGCACCGCGGGGATAGTCGTCGCTGTCGACGCGCAGCCAAAGCATGGACAGGTCCGTACCTTCAAGACTGCCGAGGCGTGGAGAACAGATATCCTCTCTGACGTATACGCAAACTCCAGCCCGTGGCACAAAAAAGTGAACTAATTTGTACCCCGGTTAGGACAGGTACGAAGTATCAGCCGGAGAGGACACCTGCGTCTTAGTCAAAAAGAGCAAGGCCGGCTTCGCCGTCTCTCGATGGTAGTGGACGACGTTAAGGTTCGAGTGAAGTCCCCTGATGTTGTAGAAGTCCACGGATAGCGTGGCAGGGGTGGTCATGGCTTTATCGCTCTATTTGTGTCGTGCAGTGTTAGTATATAGCGGGATTTACTATGATTTACTCGTACTATGATGCGAATGTAATCATCTTTCGTTTCTACTACATGTTAATTAAATTTTAGAACACAAAACCTGCAACTATATCAGTTGGCCATATTGTCACGCAGACTTTTTTTAGATATTGACAAGTTCTTTAAATGTTTGGTACATTTTTTATTCTACCGCAGCGCACGCAACTAAGTTTTATACGCAAATTTTTATACCTAGGCATACAATATTTGAATTTCCTTAGGGTAACCAATTTTTTTAAATAAAATTGAGCTTATGTTACTCACTGATAGTTTTCTATAACTAACTTTCTATAGGTGTAGAAACTTATAAAATCGATTGAGTAGTTTTAGAGTCGAATTCATTACAATCAAAAAACATTTTTTTTTCTCTTTGTGTTTTATGCAAAAAGCAATTACTGGTAGGAGATTCCCCTTTATTTTGTATTTGTATTATACGTGGTAGAGCCATGCTGCAGCTATATCTCTGGTATAGTTGTAGCACGAATGTGTCGGTTCGACCGGGGAAGGACCACTCTCTCACAGAATTCCAGCGTAAAATAGCAGCTTAATGCTGCTGTGATTCGTATGGTGAGTGTAGAGAACCCGAGACCCTTTTTACTGGAAAACTCGTTAGCCTAAAATTTAACAATGTATTAATTAAAATTCACTAGGCGGTAGGGAAGAAAGGTTCTCGAGTTGCCGTCTCGTACTGAAAGGCGCAGTTTAGGGCGACCTCTCATTAGACGAAGCGACGACCTGATGAAACATGCAGGTAGCCGATGGATCCAGGTGGCTCAGGCCCGTATTTTGGGCCAAATTTTGGGACCATATATTTTGCCATAAGCTATAGTCCAGAACAACTGTTCCACCACTGGCCCAGACCTACTGGATCAGTGGTGAGGCAGTGGTCCTGGGCCTATGTTCAGCAGTGGTTGTATGATTGACTGTAGTAATAGTAATATGTGTTAGGGCTCCTTTCCTGCCTAGGAGTCGATCTGGGGTACCACTCTCTAACCAATTTT